TTCTATCCAGCTAAGGCACCTTCACCTCTCACCAGGGATCATCTCTTAACATCCAGATTCACCTACCAACTCACAAACATGCATAATACTTGGACCAATCCATACTCCACCTGACATCCAGAAGTACTTTTTTAAAATACTGTGATCCTATTTAAGTTCTGTTTAAGCCCTTCCTTTGGTTTCCTGTCGCTTTCGGAGTAAAGCCTCAAGTCATTAACATGGTTTACAAAACAAGTCACACTCTTTTCCCTTTCGTTTTCTAATCGGCAATCACACAGGGTTTTTCTCCGGTCCTCAAATGTGCCTGGCACACATCACACACTCTATTTTCCCCACACGACTGAGCACGAGCTGCTCTCTGACTGTACCCCACTTCCCCTACCTGGCCAAGTTCTATGTATCCTATTACTACCAAGTATGATTGTGATGTGTACTTAATACCTATAAAGCACATAGTCTGCATTATATAGTTGTTATCCATATATGAAGGCATGAGAAAAGCCTTTCTTAGCCTTCAGTCTATGTTAAATCCCCCTGTTATGTATATTTCCATTGAATCAAGTCTCTTTTCAGATCCTTAAACTCCTTTTCATTCCTTTCTCTATGTCCTCCCTTCACACTCAACCATAAGCTCCAGGAGAGCAAATGCTCTGCATTCACCACTGAATCTCTAGTGCTGGTAAATAGACGTTCAATGAATATCTGTTAAGTTAATGAAGAAACAAATAATTACTCCAGCTTCAACCATGCATAATTTGGAGGAATTTTTATATGAAAATATTTTATTAGAACCTGGAAAGAATCTAAAACCAAGGATGACTGATGTTGAGAAATCATCTTAAGAGACACTGAACTAAAGATGAAAGTGGAAGAGACTGAAATGCAAAGCAACAAACAGCAGGCAGAAAAAACACACAAAAGCCATTTCTGGCCAGAATCGGTGGCTCAACACCTGTAATCTCAGCTCTTTGGGAGGCCATGGGAGGAGAATTCTTTGAGCCCAGGAATTCAAGACCAACCTGGACAACTTAATGAAACCCCCATGTCTATAAAAAATAAATAGCCAGCTGTGGTGGTGCATGGCTGTAGTCCCAGATACTCCGCAGGTTAAGGCCAGAGGATTGCTCGAGCCTAGGAGTGTGAGGTTGCAGTGAGCTGGGATCCCACCACAATACTCCAACCTGGGTGACAGAGTGAGACTCTGTCTAAAAAAAAAAAAAAAAAAAGCCACTTCCATGGAAATACTAAGATGTATTTTATGGGCTGGGAGATAAACAAGGAAAAAAAATTATTTTGAGAAAAGTTACAGAAGAAAGGAGTGGGAAGGTGTGCCTGAGGCCCAGGGAGAACATTTCATGAAGATCTCATGGAGGAGTAAACACAACCCTTTGCTAAAACATAGCAATGTAGAATAGGAACTGGAACCCCCTGTAATTTGAGTGATCCTATGTCTGTGAGATATGGTGTGTGGCAGGGGAATTAATGCAGCCTACAAGCAGTCCTTAACTGACAACTGTTGGATACGTTAAAAGTGTGTGTGTGTGTGTGTGTGTGTGTGTGTGTGTGTGTGTTTTGAGACTGAGTCTCACTTTGTTGCCCAGGCTGGAATACAATGGTGTGATCTTGGCTTACTGCAATCTCCACCTCCCAAGTTCAAGCGATTCTTTTGCCTCAGCCCTCAGAGTAGCTGGGACTACAGGAGTGCACCACCACACCCTGCTAATTTTTTGTATTTTTGTAGAGACGGGATTTCACTATCTTGGTCAGGATGGTCTCGATCTCTTGACATTGTGATCCACCCACTTCCACCTCCCAAAATGCTGGGATTATAGGCATGAGCCACCGCACCCAGCCGAAATTGTGTGTTTTATGTGTATGTTCATTGCAGTACTATTCACAATAGCAAAGACATGGAATCAACATAGATGCCCATCAATGGTAGACTAGGTAAAGAAAATGTGATAATATATCCTATGGAATACTATGCAGCCACAAAAAAGAATAAGATCAGGTCCTTTGCAGGAACATAAATGGAACTGGAAGCCATTATCCTAAGTGAACTAATGCAGGAAGAGCAAAATAAATAACACATACTCTTATACGTCAGAGCTAAAAACTGAATACACATGGACACAAAGGAACAACAACTCTGGGGCATACTGAGGGTGAAGGGTGGGAAGAAGGTGACGATGAAAAAGAAACTACATGTCGGATACTATGCTTATTACCTGGATGACAAAACAGTCTGTACACCAAACTCCCATGACAGCAAATTTACCTATATAACAAACCAGCACATGTGCCCCTGAAACTAAACGTTAAAAAAAAGAATTGTGTATTTTATACAGACTCCCAAAGTTTCACCCTCTGTACTGCAATGAAGCTCCAGTTGGCAATAGCAGGAACCAGATTGATCACAAATGTATATAGGTTGTCTTCCGTTTTCTGCCACGCTTTCCAATTCTCCTATCAGTCTTTCCTTCACCTAACCCTTGGTCCAGGATCTGATCTCCTATCATTTTTTCCTATAAAGAACTCTAACACCTGAAGCAATTTTCACTGCAAATCAAGTAATTGGTGTTCTGGTTTATATCAGTTGGGTTCAGTCTTTTACAAGTTTGAGTCATGGAAGTCCCTTCTCCTAGGGCACAGGTAACTTGTTGTAGATGAGGCCAAGAATTGGTCAAACAAGACCACTTCCTGAGATGTTATCTCACATTCCCAGGAATATTTGGTCTTATCTAACAGGCAGATAGATAGATCTGTTTTCATCTTTGACTTTTCTCTCCAAAGTTGGAGAAAGGGAGAGAGATTTACAGAGAGAAAAATATATAATTTAATGCCAATAGAGGTGTAATACATTTCTGCACTCTCAACCATTTCAACCAAGTCACCAAAGAAGGTAGGCAAGGAAGCCCAGGGGAGGTTGACCATGCAAGTCAGAAAAAATGACAATAAGGTCCAGTATAGTAGCTCATGCCTGTAATCCCATCACTTTGGGATGCTGAGGAGGGTGGATCATTTGAGGTGAGAAGTTCAAGACCAGCCTATCCAACATGGTGATACTCTGCCTCTACTGAAAACTCACAAAAAATAGCCAGGTGTGGTGGTACACACCTGTAATCCCAGCTACTTGGGAAGCTGAGGCACAAGAATAGCTTGAACCCAGGAGGCAGAGGTTGCAGTGAGCCGAGATCACACTGTTGCACTCCAGCCTGGGTGACAGAGTTAGACCCTGTCTCGAACAAAACACAACACAACAGAACAAAGAAAGAAAAGAAAAAGAAAAACAACAATGATAACAGGAGGAGACAGGTAGATGGCACTTTCTAGGGGCCTGGCAAGCTTTTTATACATGTGTAGGTATATGTACATATACACACATACATATTGCTGTGAGAATTAAATGAGTTAATGTATGTCATGCTTGTAACAAACAAACAAACAGAGTAAAATCTACATAGCGATTTCTGGTAACTAATACCAATGAAGGGAGGATTTAACCTAAGAATAATATTGAGATATTGTGAAAACACTTTGGTGTCACTCTGGGGACAACTGTGGCATAAGGAACAATCTGTGAACTGAATATCAGAGCTGAAATTCTCGGTTGGCCATATTTTAGTTATGGGGTGTTAACTTCTCCAACCTCACTCATTTTTCCATTTATGAAAGAAAAAAAAGCAGAAACAGTCTCTTAGAGTGACTGCCATGAAAATGGCATAAAATAAACCACCCAGCACAACAGATATTTTAAGAATATAAGCCTGGTGTTCCATTATTGGAGGCTAAACATGTGGGGGTTATTCATATCCTACTTCTCAAGGTCATCACCAAAGTCTGATTGCAAAAATTCAAAAAATTCCAACCTCAGGCATCAATGGGTTAAAAGTGCTTTTCATCTCAACTTACAGAGAAAGGAAAAAAGAAAGTATTTTTTGTTAGGTTGCAAATTGTGTATTTTATATAGGCTCCTCTTACCATTGGTTAGAGAGAGAACAGGCAAATGATTCATGATTGATATGGATTGATAATAGATATACAGATAATAGATAATAGATGATAGATACATACGCAGATACATATGATGGATGCTGCCTCAGCCTTCCATTAAGACACACATTCTACTACCCATTAGTTATTTTTCCTAATCCTCTTCCTCCTGCCACCCTCCACCCTCCAATAGAATGTTAGTAATAAGCTTATACATCTACCCCTGAACTTAAAAGACACACATTCTGTTTCCCCCTAAAATAGTGCTCAAGGCCTCAAAATAATTATCTTGAAAAGATATAATTATTTTCTTGTAATGTGATTTCATGTCCACATCACTTCATTTATACTGGAAACATGGAAAGAATCTGTAATTCACATGCATCAACCTCAGCAATATGAATTTTTTCAAGAATACAATAATAATGTTGACCCACATTCCTCACCATGGAGGTGCTTAGGTCAGCATTCTCCTCTTGGGACTCTCATATTTGTGCGTTACCTCTGCTCAGTACCCTCTATATGCCTCATTCTTTCCCTGGACAGTTTATCAATTCCAGAAAGCTCTTGTTTGGGTATTAGAGCCATTATGGAATCTGAGTGTATACCTCTTGTGATTTTAAATGTAATCTTGTTGCATTTTTTTTAAGTTTGTGGGTGATATTATACTTTCTCCTACCAGTGTTTATAAATAAAGTAATGAAAATCATGTTAAAATGCTGACTTGCTACAAAACCTTTCACACTCATAAAGTATCCTAGAATTTAGATTCGATGATCTTTTATTGATAGTGTACTGTGTACTTTCACATGCCTGGTAAACCAAGAGTTCAGAGAAATAAAGGTCATTACAAACCTAATTGTGTATTGCTTTTAGGTTCGATGATATATTGCTTTCTGTTTATCTTATTTTTAACAGCAATTGAAAAAGGAAGAGTCAATAGAATAAGAAAGGCAGGTAAAGCAAGTTGCATCCAGGTACCATACAGTTATGAGAAATGCTACTACCTCCACAGACCACACCATCGAGGTCTTCACAGCGGCGATCATCACACTCACAAGTCTTGCCATACACACGATGATCTCCTGGAGGGTAGCAGGTACATTTGCCACATTCGCATTTACCTGAAAAGTAAAAAGAAAGTGCACACTAATGAGAAGAGTCAAAGAATCACCAAAGGTTTCAAGGAGGCAAGCACACTATTAAACCCAAATCTCCTAGAACAGTTCTAGTCTGTGCCTGGTAATAGTTACACAAATACACATTTCCAACCTCCCTAAGGTAAGCTAAAGTTTAAGCATAAATACCATGGTGGTCTGGAGTGGAAGTGGCATTCGCTGGCTCAGAAGTCATTCACAGTTGCTACTCTCTAGTTTTTGTTTCATTCGTTTTTGAATAAATGCATTATAAAAATCTCTGGCTATTTCATATTCAACTTAGCTTGATGATTGATTCTTTGAATATAACTTAATACATTAAATATATATATATATGCATAATTTAGCAGAATGTGGTCATTTAAAAATACTTTAATCTTGGGTTTATCTTCTCCATGAGAAACAAAATGTTCATAGGTATATTTCAATGTGCTATTTTACTGATGTTTTTGTAGTCAATTTTATAGTTCATATAACTCATTTTAGCATGGAACATTTGTCAAAGCACATAAACTAAATATCTTTATTATTCTTGTCCTAAAATGTAAAAATATAAATATTTTTTGGAATGAATTTGGTTCTTAGTTTTTGAACCCTTTACTAGTCCCATCATTATGCTGAGTTTCATCATGATGTCTTGAGCGGTAACTATGTGTCAAACACTATGATTCCCTGCATGCCATCATTTCATTTGCAAATACCACATATTGACTGGAATCATTACAACCATTTTACTAAACAGGAAACTGAGACATATTAAAGCCAAGTGACTTTTCGATGGTGAACCAGCTAGGAAGAAATAGATTCAAAATTGACATTCATTCTCATTAGCCTCAAAATTTGTGCAACTAACCATTAAACCACATTGCATCTTAATATGTGTGTAATGCAGCATCAGAAGCCTATATGAGAAAGTAACTTTCTTTTGTTTGAGGAATCGCTACTGGCTTGCCAGAAATTTACTTGGGTGACAGTGCTCCGAGACATCTGTTACTCTCTGTCATTAGCCCAACCATCATAATTACACACCCACTGAAATAATCACAAGACGCTTCAGGGCTGACCTTGCAATGTTGTTAGTCACTCTGTTGCTGAACTTGTATCTTGTTAAAGAAATTCGGAGTTGGTGGATGATGGGGGAAAGAAAAATTAGTATTTAGGATTATATAATCTCAGAGCTGTAATTCAAGATAATCTAATGCAATGATTCATAACATTTCCTGGCTGACATGATGGGGTCATGATCCCTTTGAAAATCTGGTGAAAGATATGGCAATACAGTGTTGTGGTGGCTGCCCCTCAACTAATCTCTCTGCTTGGAGATAGTCCCAAGTTCAGCAAGGGGCAGAAGCTTCCCTCCTTCAGTGATATTCCCTCTTCCTGTACCCTGGCAGCTAGAACAGGGACACATCAGACACCCTTGGTCAGGGCTTTGATTCTTGAGGGAGAAAGCAAAGGCACAGCACCTGTGGGCAGCATGGCAATGCAACAGCATAGCAATGTCTGGGAGCTGTGAAACTCAGCATGCAGTGGCTGACATTCAGAAGTGATGGCAGCAGGAACTGGTTCTTGGCAGTGCCTTGATTCCCCAGGTTGCTGCAGAAGCTAATTGTTCAAAGTTTCATTCTGAGCCTAAAGCCTTCTAATAAAATCTTTTTTTTTTTACCCCATTTAATGAAGTTGGTTTCTATTGTTTGCAATCAAGAACCCTAACTGGCAAAATTCAAATCTATCCCTGGAAAAATATACTGATACTTATTTCTTTTGGTAAAATGTCAGAAAGGTCCATAACTTCCCTCAATTTATTTAATAGACGAGGAAACTCAGGCATGCGCGGGCTAAATGATTTGCCCAAGGCTGGCTATCTGTTAGAAGTGTTGGTTTCAGTAACTAGATTTTCTGAACTCCAGTCACCTTCTGACATGCATAAATGCTCTAATCTTTTTCATGGGTGGATGTGCAAATGATTCCAATAATTCAGGCTGTGGGGAAAAAGAGCCAAATTGTGGTACCATCAGCAGCGTAATCTGGTTATGGTGAGCTGTTCCTTCACAGACAGATGTGGGAAACCATGATCATCAGTTGCATTATTCCTGAGAAGCAATGCATTCCAGTTACATAGACAGAATCAGATTCTACATTTCAGGGAATATGTATTTATGATGACACATTTATTCCCATTTTGAGGCATATAGTAATTTTCCTGAATACACATTATTGGCTTCTGTGCTTCTTCAGAAAAGATGAACTAAACATTGGCATATGTGTTCAGATTTCAACATTCCATTGTTTTCATTGTGGATAATTTCTGTTCTATATTTTTGTACAAAGTTAGATAATAAAGTGTTAATATTCTGGGGTAGGCACATTTTCTTTCCTGACAAATTACAATTCACATGTCTTTTTTAAATATCAGAGGATATGTTAACCAATTTCCAATTCTTTTTTTGCAAGGTATCTATTGGAGTTTTAAAATGACTAACACTAAGACAACTATGGGCTGAATTAACTTTGTGCATAAATCTCTAATATAGTTTATAAGATACAATGGCTTCTGACAAAAGTCAAAAGTAGTGCGTTAGGATGGACACAAAAGACAGAATTAGACATATTATTTAGTAGCAAAATAGAGTGACTACATTCAGTAACTGAATTGCATATTTTTAAAGAACTTAAAAAGTGCAACTGAATTATCTGTAACTCAAAAGGATAAATGCTTGAGGGGATAAATAACCCATTCTCCATGGTGTGCTTATTTCACATTGCATGCCTAGATTGAAATATCTCACGTCCCCCACAAATATATACACCTACCATATACCCACAAACATTTTTAAAAATTTAAAAATTAAAATACGATGCATTAGGAAAGGCTAATTTTATTGTAGATAGAGAGGTAAAAAAGAGTAAATTCTTCATGCACTCCATATTTTAAAGTATATTATTTTGCTTCCTCAGTTCACAGCTTCTATGTAGCCACTACCACAAGTCACTACTAATTTTCTTTCAGTCACTATCATATACCTGTCAGGTAAATTTCTAATCATTCTTCAAGGTTCAAAGAAAACTTTACCAAATCTTTGACACTGGCACCCTCCTACTCACAAACCTTCACCAATACAGCAGAATTAACTATACTTCTTATATGTCCTCATAATAGCATTTTTGGGGGATGGAGGGCAGAGTCTCGCTCTGTCATCCAGACTAGAGTACAGGGAATGCAGTGGTGTAATCTTGGCTCACTGCAACCTCCTTCTCTTGGGTTTGGGTTCAAGTAATTTTTGCACGTCAGCCTCTTGAGTAGCTGGGATTACAAGCATGCGCCACCACATTCAGCTGATTTTTTTTTTTTTTTTTTGTATTTTTAGTAGAGACTGGGTTATGCCATATTGGCTAGGCTGGTTTTAAACTCCTGGCTTTAAGCAGTCTGCCTGCCTTGGCCTCCCAAAATGCTGGGATCACAGGTGTAAACCACCTCGGCCAGCCACTATAATGTTTGAATCAATATTTATTGAACAGTATATTAAACAATAATCGTATATAAATACTTTAGAAATATTCTCACGATACATGAGCATTAATGGTAGAACTTGAATTTGAAACAGTGTCTCTTTCCCAAGCTAGATATTCATTTCCAATTACCTCAATACCTTCATTTGTGTTTTCCATGGTTAGATCAATTCAATATGTCCCATGGCAAATTCATTAAGTGTAGTCACAAACCTACTCCTCTTCTTGGGTCTTTTGTGAAATTTCACATAATCCACTTTCTTAAAACATACATATGATTGTGTAATTCTCTTGCACAAATCTCTCTGATAGCCCCATGTAACCTTCAGAGCAAAGACTAGATTCCTTAATAGAGTTTTCCACACATGGTCCAATTTACCGTTTCAAGCATATATCCCAGCAATTATTGTACATTCATGTTCAGAGACTTTATGTTCCCTATTTCTTCCCTCTGTGGTGCACAACACCATTTTCTCTGTAAAGTCCTACTCAGTGTTTAATAACCAGCCCAAATCTAATCTCTTCTCTGAAACCTTCCTTGCCATCCCTGTTTGGTTACCTAGAAGAATTATCACCTCTCTGATCCCACAATCTTTTGTCTATACCCCTAGTTGAACACTGAATACAAAGTTTAAACTAGGTAAGTAAGTGCCTTAACCTAATGGTAAGTGATAAAGTCACTGTGGTCCAGACTAACAATGAGATTTGTATCGTGTTAGCAGCCAACTAAGTTGTCCCTTGATGTAGTAGAATTATGCTGATGTACAGGTTTGTTGACTTGATTTCAGATAAGAAATTGAGTCCAGCTTTTAAATTTTGTTTACTAAAGGATATTATTATTTCAGTGATTGTTTTAATGTTATGGAGATATAACTGTGGCTTCTCAAATAACTACCAAATTAATATTCTTATACATGAGAAAGAAGGAAAATGGAAATCTACCTTTCTAGCACTGTGCTATTTTATACAATATATCTAAAAGAAAATCTAAAAAAAGAGATACCCAAAGAAATAAAAATAAAGCAAGTAATTTTCAGGAAGACAATTCAGAAACAGACAGAAAGGAGCATAGAAATAACTGTGAGCAGAAATTAATTCAGCCAAGATCATCAATATCATCCAACGAAAATTTATCTGAAATTTACTCTACATTGAGTCTGCCTACTCTTATTAAGTTTTAATAAAGTAGATAATCTTTAGGCACATACAAAATCATTCCAGTGATATCATTTTATAAAAGACTGCAATTTTTATGAATGATATTTTAAAGCTCATTATAAGCTATCAAAGAAGAACAATGGGCTAAGGTAGATTTTTAGAAGTTCTGATCAAAATAGATTTTACTTAAATAATTCAAACAAGTTCAGACTCTGAATCTGTGTAATACACAGAAAAATTTCAAGTCAAGATATAAGCCAAAAGCCCAATTTATAGCTCTATGTGCAGCTAATTATTTT